CTGTTGGTTCAAGGGACTGTGGGCTTCTCATTGGTGACTCGAGCCTGGCCCTCCACATGAAACCTGTGGGCTCCTACCCTCCTCCTGGAGGCGATCCCAGGGCCTGCATCCCTGGGCGTTTGATGTATGCTTGGCTCTAAGCATTTAATTCTCCCTATTTCCCAAGGGGGAGTCCTTGGTATCCCAGATTTTCAGATGAGGAGCTGAATTATAAAGGTCAAGCAATCTAACTAGTTAGTTAACAAACTAGAGAGTGGCAGAGCAGAACTTGAACCCAGAAAGTCTGGCTCTGGTCCAGACCCCTTATGGACTATACCACAGACTCGTTGCTCACAGAGGTCCTTTATCTCTTCAAAATAAAATCAAACTAGGCTGGAGGCATTGACATTAGTGGGGTCTTTGGCAGCCTTTCTCTGGGAATCTGGCCTGCTGGTAGAGAAGTTAGTTGCAGGAGGACCCGGGTAACCTGGGGCTGGGGGAGTGGCAGCCCAGGCCTCCATTCCCTGTAGGCCCTCTGGGAGGCCGACTCCTCTCCAGACGGGTCTGGGAAAAGGATGGGCACCACGGATTCCCATGCCCAGTTGTGCCAGTTGCGCGCACCCTCTTTTAGGGCTTATGAGCCGAGGAATGGGCAATCCACGTCTTCTTGGTGCAGATGAGCCGTCAGAGGCCCAGGAACAGACAGGATGCGGGGGTCTCTCCTGCAGCCTGAGGTCACTTTCTTTACCTTGATTTCCTCAGGGCTCTATGCCGGTTCAGACACAACAGTCCTCAGGCTGGCCTGGGTCCTGGGGCCGGGCTCTGAAACTCAGTTCAGCCTGCAGAGCTGTGAACGGTGGGCCCAGGGTCTCTAACGGGCAGAAGTACTTGGCCTGAAGCTCGGCACAGCCCCATTCCGGCCTTTTGATTCACAGGGAGGAGAAGAGAAAGGGGCAAGGGCACTGCCTCTGCCCTCTACTGAAACCTTTAAGGAAAACAGACCGTTAAAGCCTCCTGCCCCTTTGTGTGTGTGTTGTGGCAGTGTGCTCCCCTGGCCTCACACACACACAGCATCAGGCACTGACTGGAGCTGCCCGGAGTGGGTCCTGAAGACGAGCAGGTGCCCTGTTCTTCCAGGGTACCCCCTCCCTACCCCTGTCCTCAAAGGACTTCTCCCTGCCCAGCAGGATTCCTCTCAGCTTGCTTCCCAGCTCAACCCCTCACAAGTGCTGCATGGGACTTCTTTGTAGAAACCAGCAGAGTCCAGGCTCTTCTAGCATGTGAGGCATGGCTTCCGGGCCTCACCTAGTCAGCTAGTTTGCATCACCTGCGTGGCAGGTTTCTCTCTACACAGACTACAGTTTCCTTTCCCTTCCCAACAGTGGTGTCCAGCCAGTTTTCACTTGTGATAGGGACATTTTTCTTGAATTCTCTTACCACCTATTTAACGCCCGGCTAATTCAGAACAGTCAAGGCCAAAATCCTTGACACGTTTCCCCCCAGTGCTGCCCAGCTGATCAAAATGACCACTATGAGAATGCGAACACAATGCTGGAGCTCACTAAAAAAGAACCTCACTTGGGGATTTCCCTACAGTAAGACTCTGAAGTTTTCTTTAAATTTTAATGCATCCAGATTGGACTATTGTCAGGGATTGCCTGACTTGGGGTCTACTGTTAATTCTGAAAACTGAATCTCTGCAAGTCTTACTGTGAGAAGTTATGAGGTATTCACTAAGAAAATACAAATTCCTCTGAGTCCCGAGGAGAAAAAAGTTAATTGTACTTGCCCTGCAAATTCTCATGTGGACACTAAAAATATCACCATGAATGTTTTCTCTAAGAGCCAGTGCTCTGTGCCTAGTGAACTGGTAGAGAGGGAAGTGTGGAGGCCGTGGGTGGTTTAGTAGGTAGATGTTCTGTCCCCAAGGCAGCAACTCCCAGAGAAGATGGGACATATTCCTTCCTCAGCAAAGACCTCTGTATGCAGGTCACCTCGGCTGAATGACAACAACGGAGCCTGGAGGAAACCTGGAGTTTGCAGGGCAAGAGAGACCAAGCACCATCACTGAGCAGGTGCACCATCTGGGCAGGTGAACATCTCTGCCTGCAGTGCCTCTCCCGCCCCACCTCACGCCCCGCCGATACTCAGCTGCCAGATGGAAACGGACAGCAAAGACGAAGTCTCTTTGCCGCCTGGCTCAGCAAAGAGACTCAACATTTTCTTTTCCATTTCGGAAAGATTACTGGAAGTCTGGACGAGTAAAGAGAGATGAAACAGGCACAGATTTAGACTAAGTATATATTTTAATTTCTACAAGGTCCCCCTTTTCAAGTTTTAGGAACATTTAAATGAAGTGTATACAAATTAGACATTGCCAATATGTACAAAAGTATTCTCTACAGTTTTTGAACAATACCAGCTATATCATGTTTCATTTGCAGTAAACGACATTACAAAAACAGTCCAATAATACATTTTCTATTAAGAAGCACAATACACAACATAATTAAATTTTATTAAAAAATAACTTAAAATACAGAACAATCCCCTCTAGGCAGAAAAGCTGTTTCTGTAGTTCATTCAGTAAACACACAGTTGAATGCTGCGGCTGAGGGCTGTTCTTGTCCATGGAAGAAACAAATGAGGCTTCCAGGGCCCACCTTGTTGGGATGAAACTCCAGCGCAATGGGCAGTGATGGTCTGTGGTAGGTGGGGTTCTGAATGGCCTGCGCCCCCCCCCCCCCATGCCCAAATCCCAGGAACCCGCGCCTGTGCAGTCACTCCTGTGATTATGTTATGTTCTATGGCAGAACTGACCTTAAAACAGGGAGACTTGATCAGTGGGCTTGATCTAATCACATGAACCTTAAAACAGAGGAAGAAGGCAGAGGGATGGGAGGTGTGAGAAGATGGGCCATTGAGAATTTGAAGATGGACGGGAGCACGCAAGAAGGAATGAGAGCAGCCTTCAGGAGCTGAGGCAGAAGCCTCCAGATGACAGCCAGCAAGGAACTGAATGAACTTGGAAGCAGATTCTTCCCCACAGCCTCCATAAAGGAATGCTGCCCTGCTGACCCTTGATTTCAGCCTTGTGAGACCCTGAGCAGAGAATCTAGCCACACTGTGCCAGACTCACAAGCTACAGAACTGGTGAGCTAAGAAACAGGCGTTGTCTTATGCTGCTAAGTTTGGGGTACTTTGTTACACAGCAGCAGAAAACAAATACATCGTCCAAGGGTAACTTTTCTTAACCTAATTAGATCTGGCAGTTTGTTGGGCTTCTGAATGTGTTTTTTTTCCCCCACTGAATATTACAGGCAACTTTTGAAAACCCTTCACATGAATCACACATTGTTTTGTGTTCACTAAGAAGTCCGTTTATTTGACTTGGGTCCTGTTTTCTGACGTACTCTATCAACCTGGCAAACAGCTGACCACTTAACCCTGTTTATGAACCTTTTACGGATCACCGTTTTAATATATCCAAGGTCTCCCCTCCACCCATCCGAGGCTGTCAAATCCCTCCAACTGAGGGCTCTTTCCCACTTCCCAGGTACCCCAAGCCAAGGCCTGGGTTGGGTTGGTGCAGAGTTCCACACCCAACATCCAGTAGGATTTTCTTCTGCGTAACTGATTAAACTGGCACTAAGGTGATTAAGTACACTTGGGGGAAAAACTCAAAGATTTAAAAAAAAAAAAAAAATCACACCAGTTTTTACAGGTCAAATCCTTTTTGGAGGAACCACCCCAAACCGAAAATGTGTCATCTGTGGCAGTCGTGCACACCCTCTTCCCCTGTGTGATGTCCCGGACTTCCTCGTGTCGTGTGAGGCTTCACCGAGTCAGAGCGGGTCACGGCAGAAAGAGGAAAAACATGCTGGTGCTTAGAACAGTTCAGCTGCTGTTGTGGTATCTCTCTCTCTTACTTGAAAGACTTAAAAGCTCTGCCAAGTGTCTCCAGGATGGTGGCAGTGAGGTTTTGGTGGTACTTTGAAGTACACTCTTCAATTGACTCTTCCCGAGGCACACATGTCAGTTACGTGCAGCAGCCCTGAGCGGCCACACAACCTTCTGGGTCAGTCCTGCCTGCTCCGGAGGACCCCAGGCCACACCTGAGCTGGAGAGAAGCCCTCCAAATATTTAAAGTGAATACAGCTCAGAAGGAACGTTTGGCGCCAGTGAATTAAAATAATAATAATAATAATAATAATAATCTCTCTTCTAGGAGATTCTAACGTAAAGTATACGTAAAGAGGCACCAAAAGGTACCGAGCACCAAAACATGAACTGGAATAGAATTGTTTCTACAATCTAAACTTGTGATAGTACTCATTAAAAAGCACATAAAACATTAGGTCCTTAGGGACAGTGCAGGTACACAGTTAAGGCCGATTTATTCTTCTGAACCTCACCTGCCAGCCAGAGTGGGCTGTATGATGACCACTTTTCCCGATCCTCTGAGACAACCAAGAAGTAAGGAAAGAATGAAGAACTCCAGAGCCACTGCCTTATATTCCTGGCTACCATCAAGTATCAATTCTGGGTGGTTTGTTCTTAAGAGCACGTATGTATGAGACTGTGTGATTGGTACATAAATATTTGGCCACCTTTAACAGTTCTTCACAGTTCTATGCTTGGCAGCATATATGCTAAAACCTGAAAAATGGGCAAAAAGAATCTGTATTCTAAGGAATACATGAGATGGAAAGAAATCATCTGTCTAAAATAATATTGCAAATGATACTTAAATTTCATGATTTCTTGATTCAAGAAAATGAAATTCATTTCCATAGTTGGCTACTGTAAAATGTGGCATAAAAATATTTTTAGGAGACATATCTGTATTTTAAATTCTGTGTACATGTAAATGAACGATAACAATTAAGTGCCTATTTTTGAAACTTATCTCTAATATTGAAATAGAACAACAGACTGCCATTAAGTTTCTCCAACTTTTAAGTTACCAGATATTTACAAATAAGATATAATTTGTATAAAAAAAAGGGGGGGGGACATTTTCAACTATATGTGCTGCTTTCACTGGGGCTCCGGTGATGAGAGTAACTTCGGTCACTTTCACTGTCAGAGCCATAAGATCTACAACTCCTGTATAACAAAAGAAATATACAGACACCTTTTAACTTCAACCCTTTGAATTCCTCTTGAAGCCTTTTTTTTTTTTTTTTTTTTTTTTT